GAAACACCCCTGCCCAGTAGCAGGTTGGCGAGCCAGGAAAAATACAACAATTTTAGAACTAGTGGAAGCTAGATGCAGATTGGAATTGCTGCTGTTTTATGAATAGCTTTTCCTATACTTTGGTCTACTTGTTCTGCCTCGGTTCTGTGTGTGTGTGCACGCGCGCATATGCCTGGTCCCAGCTGGAGGAACAGCAGCTGGGATGACCCCTTTAGGAGTAGTTTTTTTATTTCCCTCCTTTCAGTTCTTACCTAGTTTCCTTAATCTTGACATACGTAATAAAGATTTAAATTCTTACTGAGTCAGCACTGTCATTCTGAAAAGAGTTTTTACCTTAGCACCAGCTCTTGTTTGGTTAAGCTACCTCCTCCCCCCCTAAAAAAGGGGGTAGGAGAGAGGTTGCCACTGTACCTATGCCTGACTAATTTGGATATGCTTGCGTTTGCATGCACCCCACTACAGTCATCCCTTTGATAAATGTACAAATAACACTATTCCCTTTTGGAGAAGTAGTGCTATGCAGAGTGCAGAAAAAGAGTAATGGTAATCCAAACAAATTAAAGACACACAATAAGTAAAATTAAACCTAACTAAAACCAGTTTTCTCCATACTTGGGTTACAATTCAGTCCTCTTGCATTCTAACTATATGACAAGCCACCTCAACATCTTCCTTTCATAGTGGTCACTTACTCTTGTATTCAGTCTACATTCATTTTTGACCTCACTGCTCCTTTTTAAATTTAAATTGTTTTACACACAGGCTTCTTAAGTACCTCATTCCTACTCCATTCATTTTCCTTCTGTGTTTCTCCTGACATGCTCAATTCTCCCACTTAACAAGGCGGGCAGAAACACGCTCTTCATTTTGAGTTCTTTTGACAAATGCTCCTTGCAACAGGCCACATTCTAGTCTCGACTTTTGTGCCAGCATTTGTACTTTCTAAAATCTCCCATCTGTTTTTCCATCTTCTGTAAACATTCTCGATAACAACATAAATTCATCCATTTGTGCTAGTTTTTCAGTATAATTTTCTGTATAATTTCCAATTCTTCATTCCACTTTCCCTGTCAGATTTTCAGATCACACTCCTTTTGTATCATATAATCTCATATTTGCTGCAGATAGTTGGAATTGCAGCCAATAGCACTGCATCAACTACATGCATAAGTATACGTACATTCAGTCCCCATCCACCACCCTAACAGTATTTATTCTTTAGGATTCAAGTTATCAAGCAAAACATGAAGAATGCTTAATTTATTAAGCACTGTATCCAGCTGGGAACTTATTCAATAATATCTCTACAATATGAATGTGTGTCTGTCTGGATCTGAAGCAGAAAAGTGTTTTGGAGGTAGTAGGGGTATGCTCACTGGGCCTGTTGGTGTCATTTTCCAGGGCTTACATCAGAGCTGTGTGGACCCAAGGAAGTCATGTACGAGTCCTGGAAAATACGTGTTGTTTTAAAGGAGGCACTGATAGGTGCAGCATGCACGTACATTCCCCCTCCAAAGCATCTTCCACTTCAGATCTGCTGTGCATCCCCTGCTCTACAGACTTGAATTTGATCATAGGTCCGTGCAAATTATTCATACTTTGATCTGAGGAAGGGTTTTCCCATAAGGTGCAGAAGCAATTATCTGGATACCTGGTTTAGAAGCAACAGGAAATTCAGTACAACAAAGTATCCATGTTAGAGAAGGAAAATGGATGTAAAATAAACCACAAACTCCAGATTCACTTAGTAACCTCCTCCCTTATAAGCAGCACAGGAGGCCTTAAAGAAGGTCTTAGCTGATCCCACTGAAAAACAAAATACAGACCTCCAAGCGTCTCAGCCTCTTTCTTCCCTATAAATTCCTTTTAGCTCACAATAGTGGGGTAGCTGGAGATCATTGTAATTCAGTTTAGCCTACCTTCCCAGTGTCAAAAGTAGGAGGAGATTCACCAGAACCTTTTCTTTAAGTTTGATGGATACACAGAAAAGAGTCATGGAAGATTATTTCAATATATGATTACTGCGGCAAGATTATTATATGCACAAAGATGGAAAGATTCGGCACTACCCACTATGGAGGAATAGTTAGTGAAATTGACAAATCTTGCTGAGATGGATAAACTGACGTCTCTCATTAGAGAAAAGACAGTATCTACATTTATCGGTGATTGGAACCCCCTAATGGACTTTGTGTAAAAATGAAAAAAATAAACGTGGTTTATGGTTTTGATGATTAGACAGAATAGATTATAGAAAGAAGAATCATGATGTAACTTTAGAGAGAGAGGTAAAATATAATTGTACTTATAACTGCTGTGAAGAATATCAGACACCACTTCTTTATGTCTTTATATCCTTTATATCTTGCTCTTTTTTCTATTCTATTTTCTTATTGCACTTTTAGCTTTTTCTGTTCTTTTTCACTTTTTCTGTTCTAATTTAGCTTGTTGTAGTTATTATTGTTTTTTAAACTTTTAATAAAAACTATATTTAAAA